AATAATGTAGGTAATTACTAAAGCCCCCTATGGTAACTCTAACGAGATGCAGCGCGCTGAGGGTCTTGGCGCAAGCCAAGTGGCTATGCCACATGTCACTCAGGCACCGAGGCTACATCAGGGGATGGGGGTTTAGGGGCCTAGGGTTTAGGGTAACCCTTATGGCGGGATAGTATTCACCCTTGTAGTAAGCCTTATCCCAGAGTGTCCAAGTACCCAAGTAATAGGGCCTTAGGTACCAAAAAACATTCAGAGTATGTGTAGTATGTGGGATCTCAACACTACTCTTTGGGCACTTGCGTCCTCAGGGTTGTTGTCGTCAGTTCTGAAAGTAATATGAAGCCCCTATACTGATTAAACCCGAGACACAAGCATGCCGCGAACACGTAACACCCGTGTTTTCCTTGAAGCCTGACCTCACTCAGCCTTCAATTCGCCGGGTTATGGAGGGGCAGAGGGGAGGAGTTCGAGATTCTCCCAAGATCGAAACGGAAAGCAGCCTTGTCCCAAATCCTGGGCCAGAAACAAACAAGACACTTAAACCCTACAAACCCTAAACTCACCAAACCCGACTCTCAACCTTTTGGGGGTTCTCTGATGCCGCGCTTGGTCGGCGTCCTCTGTGAGGGCTCTGGTGATGGTAGACATGAGCCATCACCAGCACTAGGATTCGTAAGCTGACGTGCCACCGCAGCCATATTCATAAACCTCAAAACTAACCCCTAAACCCAAAACCCCTAAACCCCTAAACCCCTAAACCCCTAAACCCCTAACCCCTAAACCCCTAAACCCCTAAACCCTAAACCCAAACCCCCTAAACCCTAAATCCGAACCCCCCAAACCCTAAACCCTAAAACCTTCCTTCCCCCCCCTCAAAAAAAATCGCACAATCGCTGCATGGCCTGGCAGCGGCCCTCTGACGGCATTCCTGCGTAGCCCCTCGGCGGCCCCAATGCAGCCTCGGCTGTTTGGGGTTTAGGGTTTAGGGTTTAGGGTTGAGGGTTGAGGGTTTAGGGTTTAGGGTTTAGGGGTTGAGGGTTTAGGGTTTAGGAGGGGAGGGGGGCGGGGGGGAGGGGGGTGCGGGCTCGTGATTTTCGGGCTTAAGGCACAACGGATTTTGAATGTCGGCTTTAGGTTTGATGGTTTCTGGGGTTGGCAGGGGTTCAAGGGTTTGGGGGTTTGGGGGTTTAGGGATTCAGGAGCCTATTTTCGGGATTCAAGGGTCTCTACTAAAGGTTCTGGCCTAAACTCAAAACCCCAAAGCCACCCACGAGGCTCGGCTCGAGGTTTGAGGATTCAGCCTTCCTTCCCAAGTTCAGCCGTCGCTAGACGCAGAAAATCCCCTAGGTTCCATCTGCTCAGCCGTAAATTGAAGCAGTCCCTTTTTCGGTACTATAGAGCCCAAATATGAATATTAGATAGATAGATAGATAGATAGATAGATAGATAGATATATTTATATATATATATATATATTGTATACATATATACACACACACCTATAAGGCCCAAATTTCAAACCGGCATTCAGACGCGGACCCTCCATTAAGGGGAAATTCTTTGGGTTCCTCTAAGGGTTCCTGTCATTCCTGTCTGGGGTCCTTTAAGGGAATCTAGACCCTGCAGACAGGTCCAGCCCACCGGGTTGAGTCACCGGGCTTCCACCGAGGGCCCCCCGTGGCTACTTAGGATACGACTTCTTAGGGCCTTGGGTGCGTAGCCTAAGACTCCAAACAGCTTAGAGCAGGTACTACTTATAGACTTTAGACCCCCGAAGAAAGTAGCAATTTGTATGCTTGAGTCTTCGGGTAGGGTTGGGGGGTTTAGGGATTCAATTTACCAGAACCCTCTATTTATCATCGACCATGACCATGTATTTGCCTCGCTGGCCGAGAAATTTAGTAAAGCTCTATGAAGCTTACATTTTACATGACAAAACCATGTGGAGGTACAAGTGTCAACACTGGCCACTGGGGTCGTGACGAAGTTCGCTCGCCTATGGCGCTACTTCTCTAGACCCGAAAATGCGAAGAATACCCTGCATCCATAACGTCCCGTGGTTCGTAAACACACAAAAAAGACTAAATGAGAACCTACGGGACGATCTTCAAGCCCCTCGAAGCTTCGAGAAAGCAGCACAAAATGCAACCGATGCACGGCGGCGTCTTCCGACAGTTCCGCTTCACTCTCGGCAGCCTCCTCTGAGAAGTCCTCCAATGAAATGCAAAAGTGTTCCGGGATTCTTGAACAATTTTCACAGACACATCGTGGCTCAGAGGCATTAGAATCTCGAGCTGCTCACATCAGGGTTTGGGATCTCTTCCGCATGCCTGATTTTATTGAGACCTCCGTGGTACAGGGCCTGGAATCCAGAGCGCTAAATCCTGGAATCCGTACACCCGATCCGAATGCAAACCTTACACCCAAAGTCGGTATACCGCTGCGTGCAGGAGCCGAGAGGGAGGAGCAAGGGGAGAGGGGCAATAGCCACAGCTGAAAGCTGCAAGAGCCCGTTTACCGAAACATCGATCTGTCAGTCTGTCTGTCTGTCTGTCTGTCTGTCTGTCTACCTATCTATCTACCTATGTATCCATCCGTCCATCTATCCAAATCGGCCACCAAGGGATCCTGTATGGCACGTTTAGGGCCACTGGACAAACTACCAAAGGCTACATGCTCCATACAGCGAGTGGATGCAGGACGGACCTTAAGAATTGGAATACGGCAACCACAATGAGAAACCCTACCTACTTCGGGCTGTGCTAAGGAATAACCGTGGCCAGTAACTCAGCCATACGAAGCCAGAGGAGCTGTTCGACCCTGTGTGCAGGGCCTTTGGCTGCTGGCTTACCCTCATAAGCCTGCAAGTGCCCTAATAGAAAAAAAACACTTATGCCTTACCCTTACCCGCAAAGGACTCATGTTTTAAGGGTTTTGGGCCCAAAGACACTATTATATGAGGCTTTTGGGCTCATTTGATGCTAAGGGTTATAGTAGTACCCTAAACCCTAAACCCTAGTCCCTATATATTAGGTAGTTTAAGGCCAAAGTATCCACTATACGTTAGGTACTCCCTATATATTAGGTACTTGAGGGCCAAAGTATCTACTATATGGGTACATGGACCCTTATACCCTAACCCCAAAGGCCCTTATAGTACCCTCGCAGTAGTCCATATATATTGGGTACTTTGAGGCCAAAGTATCCAGTATGGGCTTTTAGAGCTTCGGGTCTCGGGCTTAGGGCTGCTGGCTTCCCAGGAGGGTCCATACATGGTGTGTGTGTGTGTGTAGACAACGACATCGATCTATCTATCTATATGTATTTGTTGTAAAGAGTGAATAAATAAACCAAACCATCCACAAATCAGTAAATGTATATGTATGTATAAACAACAAGCTATATATATATATAATAATAATATATATATATATATATACAGATACATACATACCTACATATATATATATATAATGCTACTATGGAGTGAGCGTAGCTTTGGCGTTCGGCGTGCGGTAGCCGACGGCCCAGGGTACGCCCCAAACCTGAACCCTCCAAAACCTTCAAACTGCGAAGCTCAGCCCCCAAACCCACAATCTCAAAACGTACGGGAATGCATAGGGTTCGGGTTTAGGGTTTAGGGTTTAGGCGGCATAAACCCTAAAACCCTCAACCCTAAACCCTCAGTACACCCTGGACCTTTCTTACACCCTAAACTCCTAAACCCTATAACTATAACCCTGACTACACCCCTAAACCCCCTAAACCCAGAGCTGAAGAATGGCCTCCAGTTGCAGGAGACCAGAAGGCGGAGGAGCGGCAGAGCCTCGGCGAAAGATTCTCCGCACGTGCTCAGGCCCCCCACGACCGGCTACAGAGGCTTCTGTTACCCAGAGGCCCCATAGTAGTTCCTTTCGGGGGTTCATATTGAGAATCCTACAAGGTAATCCCCAAAAGGAACTACTATGGGGCCTATGGGTATAGTGCAACCACAAGATGGGAACAATATAGGGTTAGAAAGAGGTATGTTGTAGTATAACTATATCGCGACAGTAAGGGGATACTGGTACGAATTATTCCGACCCCTCTACCAGTGTTCTGGATAAACCAAGGGCGGGGGCTCTTCTGAGCCGACGGTTTCCAGGTTATCCGGAAGTGAGTTGCATATTGTAGTCTGATATAGAAGGTCCCTATGTGGGTACTTGAGGGCAGACCGGCATGAGTAACTATACTATACGGGTACATGTTTTGGCCTTAGGATAGCTTCACCCTAAACCCAAAACCCTCAGACCCTGAACCCTACGCTTCCGATCATAGCCCTGGTATAAGTTCCCCGAAACCCAGCTCTGATCCTTAAGGCCCCTACATTCGACTTCGGCGGCTTAGGGCTCATGGGGTTTACTTCTGGGCCAGGCCATATACTCTCTTGGGGTTTAGGGTTTAGGGTTTAGGGTAGATGTCGACTTCAACAGCCACCACAATTATAAGTAGCTGGGGCCCTAGAGCAAGCACCCATACTTTAACATGCTACTGACAATGAGACCATTGACCCCTAAACCCTAAACCCCTCAATAGTAACTATAATTGCAGGTCCCAGAACTCCCAGTTCCCTTAATTAAGAAATCTACCTCGAATCATATTAGCCATGGTGCAGCATTCTAAAGTATCTTCCTTAGTTAAGGGATATTGGATTCATTGGAAGATCTTGGAATAAATCCCATGTACCTATCCATGCAATCTGGGTTCATATTTAATAATTACACATATTTGCTGTAGATTTAGAGAGAGAGAGAGAGCGGGAGTGTGTGTGTGTGTAATAAACCCCAACAATCCATGCTGATTATTAAGTCTCCTACCTGTACCTACCAAAACTTATGCTTCGGTCTAGTACAAACCCTACAAATTTAGGTTATAGTCGGTTATTGAGGTATAGACTATCCACTCGAAGTCAATACTATCTCTACCCGCGCAAGCGTAAACCCTAAACCCTAAACCTTACCTTGGAGTTAGGATTAGGGGGGGCCCTTGGGTACATAGACCGTATCAATAAGGTCCTTTTAAGACAGCCAGAAGTAGGGTTAAGAAGGGTCCCCTTTAAGGTGTCTCCCTTATGCTACCTAGCGTTAACCGCTGAGAACTCCCCAGGTTGCGACTACCACCCCTCGTTCCACATCACTCCAACACCCAAAGGGCCTCCACAGCCTCGGGACAGGGAATGCGGAACGCTTGACTTGTCTTCCGGCGATTAAAAAAAACACGACCCCTAGACAATGACACCCTCGGGGTTTATGCCGCGGTATGAGAGCCAGGCCCTAAACCCTAGACCCCTAAATCCCAAACCCCAAACCTAAACCCTAAACCCTGAACCCTTAACCTAAACCCTAAACCCTAAACCCTAAACCCTAAACCCTAAACCCTAAACCCTAAACCCTAAACCCTAAACCCAAACCCTTAAACTCCCAAAAACCAAGGGCTCCTTCACCAGAGTCACCCTCA